TATTATCCACATTATTATTATTATTATTATTATTATTATTATTATTATTATTATTATTATTATTATTATTATCCACATTATTATTATTATTGTCATTATTATTGTCGTGATTTTTGACGTGGATCCGTGCGCTGACAACAAATTACTTGCCTGCAGGCGTGACAGCATTTGGGCAAGTTTCTGTTGTCGTTCGGCAAGCTCACCACGGCCACTGTAATCCACTCGAAAAAGCGCCATGATTGAATCAACCACCAATAGCTTGAAAATACCCAGTTCCTAAAAAGACTATCTTGCTTTAATTTCTAGGCCATATCGACTGTGAGTTAATAGCGTTTGCCAACTGTCACCAACGGGTTAACTACCAGGCGACGCAACTTTGGTCAAAGCAATTGGTCGAAAATTTCAGGCTGTATGGTTGGACAATCAGACAGCGAGTTACTATAAATTATTATAGTTGTCATTGGCTTACTAATGCAATAATAATTAGAAATTAAATAAAACCGATGAGTAGCAAAATAGAAAAGTATATTGACATGGAAAGAAATAAGCAGAAGAATCAAAAAGGAAGGTAAGAAATGAGAATTAGAAAATTTGTGAAATTATTATAATGCTAAGAAATGTTTCGGTCCGTTAAGTCGTATTCATTTCTTACCATTACCACAATTAGACCTGTTCAGTACGACGATTGTGATAACTAAAGTTAGTAGAAATTGAAATTAAATTAGTTGTGTAATGCATGTTAATAATAAAAAGTTTGTAGAAGATGAGTAGTAATAATATGATGTTTGGTTGGTTCCAAAACCGTCAGTGGTAAGATGTTACTCCAGCAACAAAATCAGGACCCACCTCGTGGAATTTCGCAGCAACAAAATCAAGCAATTCCATCTGGTGATCCGAGGTGTACGCTCGTGCATACAGGACATTGTCCAGCATTGATTCTTGATCCATGTTAAAGCGCTCGCTAATTTGTCGTAGACGTTCGGGGCTGCAAAATTTTTCATAATTTTTGTTGATGCTCAGCATGAGTTGTTACGTTTTGCTAAAATTTCGATTAAGCTGACCGGAATGTGTTTTCGGTATCGATGTAGATAACTTTGCCGCCTCTGTAGCTACTCGCTTCTCCTGGCATCTGACTGGTCACTGCAAAATTAGACTTCCATTTAATTACCGGTAGTTTCTTCAATGGCATACAGTATATATGTGTATATATATATGTATATATATACATATATATATATATATATCATGAGAGAAAGATTTTACGTCGGATTTTACTTTCTCTCATTATATATAT